GGGGGCAAGAGCTCCAACGAGTCGTTTAGTGGAGAAAGTGAATACTGCTGAATACACATGCTTGACAGAGATGCTGTATGCGAAACCAATGTGAGTTTGGAAAATTGCACAGTATAAATCTATTTTAGTATACCTCAACAATGTAATTATGATCAGTGGAAATGGCCATGACATGGGCCCTTTAATGTTTGGTTTAATACAAATAACAGGGAAAGGCTTGAAAAACTCTGAGAGTTGAGACTCAGGGTGCAGGGTGAGGGTCTCAGTGCAGGTATTCAGGCTCCATTGAATCCCCCTCTGGTTCTTGTGCTGAAAGAGGGAGAAACAGACAGGAGAAAGGGTTATACACACCTATTGGATGGGAAATTGCCTTGGGAAGATAAGGTGTGGTCTTTGTTTCCAACTGAAGTTATGGAACTTTATTATTTGTGAGTTTAACAAAGTATGACAAATGGCATCAGTAATGGATGTGATATGAATTTGTATAAAGTTGTCTCATATTCTTGGTCGTATTTTACGTACAGTATGTAATGAGTGTATACATGTCCAGTAAGTCCTCCACCTGTAACATCACTGCCCCTCCACCTGCCATACAGTAGGTTACTAATATACACTAACAAGATTACTTATATAATACAGTGATAGAATACATGTTTAGTATGCTTACTTATATACAACAGTAGTATTACATTTACCTTGTGTTTTCACTCTCACTTTGCCATCATTTCAAAATCAGCTGTGCTGCAACATAATACAGACAGGTAATAATCAACAGAATACACTAAAAACACTCACCCATAAATTACGTTTTTGTTTACTGTTCGGAAGTCTCAAATATGCACTCTAAATTCATATCAATAGCGATGTATCCAGTGGCGACTGGTCATTAGGGGCAGGTGGGGCACAGCCCCACCTAGTGTCAGCAGAAAGTATTACAAATAATGATTACAAAAATGCAAAAAAAAAAAAAAAAAAAAAAAAAATATTTTAAGATCATGTTTAATCATCTGATTCGTCTGTACATTGCTGTTTTAGTCTGTGTTCTTCTAATTAGTGTGTCTACAGTCACAGTGTGTGCCTATTGAGCTGTTTAGAGCCATGTGGGACAAAACCTGATTATGCCCCTTCCTCTCGCTGTGAAGTGAACGGTGACTGTAAAAACTACACTGCGCATGCTCAGAGTATTTTGTAATGTAATGTGTGTGGCAAAAAAATAATGACCAGAGGGGCACGGAGCTACCATCCCCACCATACGTCATCTCAAATCATTCAGAGCTGATTGGCTGTAAGTACGTGTGCCGCGAAAAGTGTGGTGCTTGAAGAGGAGGAGAGAGCTGCAGTGGCGCATCCTAAAACCAGGAAGTAAGCACAAAAAAGCAATGAGATTTCTCCAGAGGATTTTAGAAAATAGCTCGAAATAAGATCTGTGGGAAACGTACCTGTTAGATAAATGCACGTTTTGATTAGCCGGATAACATCCACATGTCTACCCTACTTTTATAATTTTTTTATCATAAATCTATGGATTAGATTTATGATAGACTTTTGAAACTACAAGAACATAAGGAGGACTTTTACAAAAAAGTAATAGAAATGTTTGTCCAGAAGGATAGGCAAATGGACTTCATCTTCAAGTCAAGGTAAGACCGCCATTTTATTGAAAATGGGATCTTACTAAGAGAGAACAATTCAATATTTAAATGATAAAATTACATTTTTTGGGTATCCTTTTGTTGAACTGTCTGTTTAAAATTAATCAAAGCATCAGACAAAAAAAGCTTTTGAAAATAATATTATATTTTGGTTTAGGTCAAAATATAATATTTGTAAACCTGAAGAGTCAGTGCCAGTGCCTCAGCAGCCATGAACCTCACTGCACGTCACAGCCGCAACAAAATATGTGAGGTAATCATATTCAAACACTGCATTTGCACTTTTTCACAAAACGAAGACCACACCATTGGGAAGCTTAATGTTTGGTTTAATACAAATAACAGGGAAAGGCTTGAAAAACTCTGAGAGTTGAGACTCAGGGTGCAGGGTGAGGGTCTCAGTGCAGGTATTCAGGCTCTATTGAATCCCCCTCTGGTTCTTGTGCTGAAAAAGGGAGAAACAGACAGGAGAAAGGGTTATACACACCTATATAGCACACCTATTGGATGGGAAATTGCCTTGGGGAGATAAGGTGTGGTCTTTGTTTCCAACTGAAGTTATGGACCTTTATTATTTGTGAGTTTAACAAAGTATGACAAATGGCATCAGTAATGGATGTGATATGAATTTGAATCTGCCCCTCCACCTGTAACATCACTGCCCCTCCACCTGCCATACAGTAGGTTACTAATATACACTAACAAGATTACGGTATATAATACAGTGATAGAATACATGTTTAGTATGCTTACTTATATACAACAGTAGTATTACATTTACCTTGTGTTTTCACTCTCACTTAGGTCCCTCTCCCTTTGCCATCATTTCAAAATCAGCTGAGCTGCAACATAATACAGACAGGTAATAATCAACAGAATACACTAAAAACACTCACCCATAAATTACGTTTTTGTTTACCGTTTGGAAGTCTCAAATATGCACTCTAACTTAATATCAATAGCGATGTATCACACAAATAGCTCTCTTCCTTATTATTGTGTAACGTTAAATTTATTATACTAGCTTGTAGGCCTACTCCAAAATGGAGATCGTAATTTCTCCACCTCCACTCATTACAATCACACGTGCCCCAATGTTATATTTAACTAATATTATATTCCTCCACCCCACAAAAAATCACGTTTAGAAGCCCTTTTTCTCTAATTCCACAACGTTGGATGAAATAACATTAGGAGAACGGATTAATAGGCTGTTCATGGTTAACGTGTGTTGCTAACTTTATCCGGTATCCTAGCCTAATCTGTTATCTGTAAACGTTCCCTAAATCAGTAGATTATGGGATAATCCACTAACATCCTTTAATACACATGTTAATTTGACTCAGATGTGCTGATAATATCCGCAATATAAATCTTTAAACGTCTTCTTACCTTTAAAAGTCCATCACGAACGCTGCAACTCTACTGCGCTGCCAGCCACAGATCGTGGAGCCTCTCGAGTCAATAGTCCCCCGGAAGTCAGCGGCAAGCTAACTTCCGGGGAACTATTGACGGCTCCACGATCCGCCATTGCTGTAAAAAAACTGGTCCATTGGAGTGAACGGAGATGTCGTAACTCTTCTATTATATGGCTCTGGGTTAGCCCTACCATGGATTACCCAACAAAAATACTCTGGAGGCCACTGTAGCCAAGGGATCCTGGTGTGTGAGGTGCTCCGAGTCTGCGGATTGGTCCATTTGGGCCAATCCGGTCATTTGTTGTTGATTTGGGTGTTCATACGTCACAGAACCCAGGAAGCAAACAATGGAAAATGAGAAATCTCCAATGAGGCGTTTTGGGGCAGCATAGACAGGTCTTTTCTGTGTTAGAGTTTTACTCGCTACAGGGTGTACTTTGAGAGTTTTTGACTCTGCAGACCGTTTACATTCATAAAAAGCTTGGTTTGAACCAACGCACAACCCACTGCACCACACACCTCCCTATTACCCGTCCCCTTGTGTGTTATGCGTTGGTTCAAACCAAACCCCACTGCAGTCAGCATGTCGTTGTGTCCCTGAAGACACTTCACCCCAAATTGCTCCTGTGGGGATTGCCCACAGTGTTGAGTATGTAAGTCGCTTTGGATAAAAGCGTCTAACAAGTGACATGTAATGTAATGTAATAACCGGAAAAGCATGACATGGGCCCTTTAAAGGCGAGTACGGCAAATAACAGTTGTAACAAGCAGTAGCAAAGTGACTAGAACGCAACCACACACTTATAAAAAAACAAACACACTTTATAAAGTCAGGCAACACTAACCAGGCTTCGTGTGATTCTGTTTATTTGTACCTTACTTTGACCATCCGTTCGCTGTTATTGATCATTGTGGAGAGCAGGCAGACGTTTTGTTTTGTATTATAGCAGCTATCGGATGGAATCAATAGGCTACATGGGCTGCACAGGTTGTCATGTCCGACTATCACAACTTCACAGTAGAATCATAATGAAAAATACGCCGGTAAAATGTGCCTGTAGAAAACGGCTTATGCCACAATAGGATAGCAACAACAAGTAGTCAAGTTAGTCAGTTTAGCTTCGGTGACTAACATCACCCATTTTATACCAGAGAAACTTTAATAACAGCGTTGTGATGCCAAACAGCGTCAATTCATACTGAAACACATTCATTTATGGGGAATTGGGGATATGTATCAGCTGCTTGTGTGACAGTTAGACAGTGAATACTTTATAGCGGCCGCTGCCGTGTGAGCTAACCCGGAGCTAACGGGAGAATAAACTCCTGTGGAAGAGCAGCACTGCAGCGGTCGGTAAATGCCGCTGAAACACATTAATAAACAATGAACCACGGCACTCTGGAGAAAAGTAGAAGGTTGGAGAAGTCGTTATTTAATTTAATCTGGCTTCGTATGATTAAAAGCAACACGAGCTAGAACAGGTTCGCGTTGGTGTGAAAGCCCTATTAGGGGCTCAGTACTGTCTGTAGCTATGTATGACCAATAAAAGCCTTGAACCTTGAACTTCAGCAAATATGCTGCTAAAGTGTTATAATGTAAATATGTATACACTATTAATCTGTTTATTATAAATAAAAACAGAGACAACATTTTTACCAGGCACTGAACTGATATGAAGTTGTTTTTAATAGTCATGCATTCATTTATTATTTGTGGGAATAAGGCTACAGGCACTACCTTGACACATCTGTCGCATATGGACCTGAATAATTCATAATTGTAATAATTAAAGTCTTATCTAATAAAATGTTGGATTATATACTGACAGTTACAGAGTGAATACAAAAGATGGGAGTGTTTGTCATTTACTTATATTTATTCTCATTACTATTTACGATTTTTTGAGGAAGACACTGAAGGCAGCATGAGTGCACCGTCACACATTTGTTGACAGTGAGCAACATCACATGCTAAGCTACAAGTGGATGATATTAGGTTTTGTTATCGTATGAAACATTTTTAAAACAAGGACTAGAGGCTTTGTGGCTCTCTTGTATTATCGGTGAAGTGTTTTACACATGAATAGATCCTCTAAGCTGTCTCGTTTCCTCCGAGCTAACCGCAGTGTTGTCTACTGCGGTTACCGTTCCCCTGGTCCTGGATTACACAGGCTGTACATCTAATTTAACCCTCAATGCTGAATACAAGGTAACCTAGTGTCGGTTATACATTTGACGCCGATTAAATAGTGATTCAAACACGTTGTGTTCTTTATTTAAAAGATGTCTCAAATGTATCGTTAGTTAAAAAGGGCTCGACAGTTTACCCATGCTATCGGTTGTATTAGGCCTCAATTCATGCCTCGGTCCAGAGTTGGGCAGTGAATCCGACAACATGTTACTTCGAGCAATTGACGCGGGTTTAAAGTTGCCGCTAGAGCGGGGCTGACGTTACACCGGTGTGCTCCTCTTTTGTGATTGTGAAAGGTGCAATAACCTAACGTTAGTATGTGGTGACAGTACTGTCCGTAAAAGCTATGTATATTGATACTCAGTACGTTTGGCCAGGTAATCAATTTCCATGAAACCAGCCTGTTGATTAGCGCTTGTTTGATAGGCGTTTATAGAAGCGGTAACGTTATAACAGTGAACCACAGCCAGGTTTAAAAAAACATAACATTTATGCTTACATTTCCCCTCAAATTAAACGAAGCGAGCAATCATTATTAGTTGCGCTGTGAATTTACAACAATGTATGTCAGTGTGAAAACGTATTAATGCAAAGCCAAACGTGTGCAAAGTAAGTTAAATTCGGGATAAACTGTCCTCTTTATATCTGTCAATATTGTGCACATTTGTAATGATATCACAACCACACCTAGGTTTACCAGCCAGGCTCACATGCACGCTGCATCCTGTTCCTCTAGCTTGCTCTGATCTGGGTTAATATAACCACTCTGACTCAAATAACTGTTCCCCAGGGCTGTGTTACAGACATGCACCCACCATCTCGAAAGGACTATATATCTATAAGCCTTGCTGGACAAGGAACTTACAATAACGGAAAGCAGTGGAGGAGACAGTCCTGCTGGAGGGTGAGTGATGGAGCAGTGATGGAGCAGCTCATGAAGTCATGTCTTCTTTCACCTAGGTTTCAAATGCTTATGTAGCCCACCCTGGTATTACTGTTATCCTTTGAATCAAGGTTTTAGAGAAGCAGGAGTGGGAAGACACAAACAACTCGGAGAGATTTCTTGGCGATTTTGGGAAACCTTTATTAACTATAAGTTGCTTTTATGTATTCCTGCAGGGACACAGCAATGTTGGCCTTGTGGAGCTTGGTAAAAATACAAATAAATAACCTTTGATAAAACTTTATTTCAGCTGCAGCTGGGCAATTTCACGCTTAATTTGAATGTTATATTATGTGACCAAAGGTTTTGCACAGTGCTAGGACATGGCAGAACATGAATTAATGTTAATGGTGGTGTTGAATGGTCACATCATGTCATAACAACTCAAAGTGAAGGAGGGATGAGTAACAATATGTCCCAGTAGACAATGTTGCAGTAGCAGAGCATAGCATTTAGCTGTCTTTTGCATCAGCGGAGCGTAAGGTGTGTTGTTAGAACACTCAGAGGACTTCAGTTCTCAGTAGTGCTGTTCCCCACTTGATCAAGCCACCACAGCAGCGCGTTCACACCGGAGTACTTTTCCCACAATAGTTCATCAGAACTACGATATATTTGCGTTCACACCAAAAAGCCCCAGGAACTAAAGTAGTTCAAATTAGTTCATCTGACCCGCTTTTCAGTCCCTGCTAGAGAGCAGGGACTGTCGTGGGAGAAAATAGTTCATACGTCTGATTGGCTGTGCGGAATGCAAACCACGCCCGTTTGACTCTGAATTTTTTTTTGGAAGCGGCCATTGTATTTGCTCGCTTCGGCCAGCGCACCCGAAGAGATTACTTTTGTGAAAGCAGTTATTATAGCAACACTAAATAAATCATCGAAGCGGTGGAGTGATGAGGATGTGTCGGCGCTTCTGGCGATTTACTCGGAGGACGCGAAGCGCCCCATTCAGAAGCTTCTACTGAATGCAGTTTCCGTGGCTCAGCAAAGTTAGCAGACCTGGCAAAGTCATGTCGGGACGAAGGTAAAATAAAGTACATGCACTGCACTGTTTTAATCTGCACAATACTGGTCTTAGATGTACTTTTATTTGCTCAGTAGATCGAGCTAGCCATGCTAGAACTTGCTATCATAGGTCCAAGCTGGCTAACAACATCTAGCTAGCTAGCTATTCTCAGCCGTGCCCGCTATGAACACGTTTTGACTTGTGAATAAGTGTGCAATGTTCTGTAATTTGCTTCACTAACTCATGGCACTAATCGTGTGTTTCAGGCGAGGTGTTTCTCTCTGGATTAGAAACTAGATAAAACGATAATATAACGTTAGCAATTAGCATGCTAGCTGGACATAATGCTACCTCTAACAATACATTGTAGTTGCTATAATTTCAAGTAATTTGCAACATTCATTCTACATGTTAATGGTAAAAGCTTAAACAGTTGATTACCTGCATGCCACAAAGACTGATGTTCTAATATTTTTGCACATTTAAGTAGAAATGTAATTGAAATTCTATTTATTTTTCCTTTTTTTTATTGATTGTTATAATTGTACTCAGCCATGTTATGTTAGATGTCAATCCACTTACACTGTAACTACTCTGGCCTTGAAAGAAGGTTACACATCTAACTGATGTCCTCTAATCCCTATAAAACAAAGTTCAAGCATACATTAAGCACAAAACAATAAATAAGGGCACTTTGATATTTATTTTTTATTTGATATTATTTGATCCTATCTTATCTTCTACTTTACACCTGCATTTTGTACACTGTCCCTGCCTGCACCATGTCCAATGTTGTCTCTGTTGACAACCTACTACAGTAGGCGATTAAACTGATCTTGTATCTTGCTTATTTCACCTTAGGAAAGCGGGCACGGGATGACAGCTTCCTTGACACCATCATGGCGATGGACCGCCGTGCCATGGTCAGCAAGGAGAATGAGGACCTGCGTGCCAAGGAGATGCACGACGAACGGCTGCTGCATTCACACAAGGCCCAGGAATCGGACGACCAGCTGCTCATGGTGATGCAGCGCCATGCTGACTCGGCGGCGCGCCAGGTGGAGGTGTCGGCGCGCCAGGTGGAGCAACAAAATACCTTTCAGGCTGGGCTTCTGGCAGTGCTAAGCGAGCTGATTAAATCCAACAGGCCTTCAATAAAAAAATTAAGAAAAACTTGTCGTCGTTGATAAACTGTACAATGACTTGTTGGGAGGCGTGTGGTGCAGTGGTCTGGTGCGTTGGTGTTCGGATCAGGGGAGCACAGGTTCAAACCCCACTGCAGTCAGCATGTCGTTGTGTCCCTGGGCAAGACACTTCACCCCAAATTGCCTACACCTGGGACAGTTAATTTTATATTATTGTGATTATATATATATATGCCACTGTTATTAATACTGACACTTCACTTTGCACTAAGGTGTGTCTGCTGCTGAGCCTACCTATTGTTATTTTATATATATATATATATATATATATATATGTTTTGATACTACTGACACTTTATTTGATATTGAAAATGTTAACTTCTATTTACATGCATACGACACACCTGGGACAGCGTGATGCTGTTATTGATATTGTCTTGAGTGTGCAATAAAAGAGAACCTACATGGCGATTAAACAGAGCCTGTATCTTACATTTTTCATTACATTTCATGTAACTAAGCTTGCTTATTTCTCCTCTGACACTTTATCTTTACAGTGACCTGTGTAGCATCCTATACATCACATGTAAGTGATTATTCTGATACCATCATGTTTCATCGGTTATAAACTGGCGAAGCTTTATTTATTGTGGCTTTCAAAAAGATAATTTCATTGTATTTCAAAATGGCGTCCAACACAAGCACTATTTATTTATAGAAAGAGAAATGGTTAAGTTTGTTATTACCAGTGTTGTGAGTTCAATATTTTTTATTAATTATAGTAAGGGAACATCTTAGGAGTTAGTGTAGTGAGTTTCAGAGCAGTGTAATAATAATCCCCATGTCATATAAACATGACATGGGGATTTGCTAACTTTTGATTTCCCCCATTTTACACGACACAAATGGAGGCCACTATGGGCCACAACTAACACGTAGGTTTCTGTAGGGTTCATGGCAGACGGATGCAGCTCTCAGGAGGATATATAATAAAGGTGTGTTTGCTGCTGAGCCTATTTAGTGTGCATACGACACACCTGGCACAGTTTATTAATTTCACACGTAGCGTAGCGCGTGCATGTCGTCGTCCAATCCCTTTGTCAATCCTTCTTAACCGCCTTCGCTTCCGAATCAGCATTGCTATTGTATTTGACTGGTCGACGATCTGTATTTGTGTTTGCTTAAATAACGCAGACGAAGCTCATGTCTGAGGTCGGAAGGTAAACAGACGCCTCATTTACAGCAAGTGGGCACAGGAGGTTTTTCTTCTTCTTTTTCTCTCGGTTTTTTGGCGGATTGAAACTTTAAGGTGCATACCGCCACCTACTGTACTCGCTGTGAAGTTGTTTGCGGCCTGCCAGTAAACCCAAAGCAGAAGAAGAAGTGATGTCAGTGGTTCATTTGCCTAATCCACTCCCAGGAACTCATTTTGGTGTGAACGCGATCTGCTTTAGTTCATCAGAACTAAAAGAGTTCTCATGAACTATTGTGGGAAAAGTACTTGGTGTGAACGCGCCTATAGGTATTGTCCTGCGCAGAACTCTATAGCACCATTAAGCCACAACATCAATATAAGTGATGAAACCTGTTGGTTCCTTGTTTGGTGCAGAACAAATGCACATTTTGAACCATAGTACTTGGACAGAAATGGACAGACGTAGGCATTTTTCACCATCTTTCTTTTGTCTGTGTGCCTGCAGAAATGGAAACAGCTCTCCAGATTGCAACGGAGCCTTATCCTCCTCTTCCTGTTCATGTGTGGAATTGCTTCCTATCCTGCTGTTGCTGAACACCTTAGAGGTAAGACTCTCAGTGTTTCCCCTAGGTTTACTGCTTTGGGGGGGTGCTGCCTGAGCGGGGGGGGGGGGGGGGGGGGGGGGGGGGGGGGCTTTGGGATATTTAAAAAAAAATACTTACTTAGGGTCAAAAACACTAAACTCACAACTTAAAATGTAAGCGTTTAGTTTATTTAATAAAAGCGCACATGTTCAATGTGAAAAGTGACAGTAGATATAGATTAGTTGCAATTTGGTGCTATATATATATATATATATATATTTAAAAAAAAAATATATTATAATTATTTTTTTTTTTTAAACACCTTGAATTTCAGGGGGGGCGCGGGGATCCGTTGGCGGGGCGCAGCGCCCCTCCAAGACAATGGTAGGGTAAACACTGACTCTTATATATTCAACATATCCCATGAGTCTGAGCAACTGGCATGCTGTCAGCATATTGTAAAGGCGCCTGTTGGGTTTTAACCTTGGACCTTTAGTTATCATTAGGCCAGTCGTCTTCAATCAATCAAAGTTTATTTATAAAGCCCAATATCATACATTTTACATTTGTCTCAGTGGACTTTGCAGTTTGTACAGAATATGAATACGACACCCTCTGTCCTTCCCTCACATCGGACATGGAAAAACTTCCAAACAAACCCCCAAGTTAAATTGGAGGAACCTCGAGGAGAGCAACCGAGGAGGATCCCTCTCCCAGGACGGACAGATGTGCAATAGATGTTGTGTGTAAATTAAAAAGATAATACATTTACAACATAGGTAGTCCAAATGCTTGAAAATGCATGTGTCTATAATAAGAAGATGAATCCAGGTGAAAAGTCTTCCCAATAGCTATGTTATAGCAGCCCTGTAATACTTTGGTACTAAATCTTTGTGTGTGTGTTGAGGCCTTACAGATGGAGAGCGCTCCACAGAGAGTAACAGCGTCCTGAGGCCCGTCTTCCCTCAAGTGCTGCCTGAGCCTGTCAAACCACTGCCAGAACAAAGCTCCCAGGTTTCTATGTTTCTTTGACCATCCACAGGGTTTCTAAAGGGCTTGGAACATTTTGTGCTATTTAGTGTTTTTACCTGCAATGTGTATGTTAATTTGGATTGTGTTATTCAGGATCCTGTAAGGTGATTGCCATTTCAAAAAGTTAATCTTTTCAGGTGATTTTTAACCCTGAGAAACTGCTTTGTAGATATATGAGTTTGTGCTAAAATGTATCCAGGCTGGGTTTTGAGCTTCACTATTTGACAATAAATGATTTAGTTTGAACAGTTTTGGCAGCAGATAGTTGGGTATCAGCACTTGACCATTTGTTTATCTTTTCAAGTTGATTCCCTACACTGAACATGCTGATTTCTTTCCCTCGCCTGATAGATAAATACTCTGTTACTGTGATAATAAAAGTACTGGTATAAACATATGAATTGGTGAAATACATAGTAAATGTGTACACTTAGTACCTTTTGAATTACATCACAGAATCAATTTTTTCTGTTTAATAACTTGCTTGAATGAAGTTCAAGATTTCAAAGGTCAAAATAAGTTGTTAATTTCATCATTTGTCACAGAAGAAATTATCCAACAAGAGAGGGCCGCCCATCCTTCAGAATCGTCTTCAGAAGAAGGGCAACGGTACAGTCACAGTGGAGGAAAAGAAAGAAAAAGGGGAGGAAGAGGGGGTCATCAGGTGAGTCTTGGCGTATGATCACAACTAACAGTTAGTTTACATATTTGTATAATTGATCTTTTATTCCTCTGGTGCCTTTTAGCTGGCGAGGTGCAGTGGTTGATACTGATAAGGACACAGGAGAAGCCAAGGATGGGGAAAGTAAGGATCATTTACTTGCCAACCATACATCTGGACCTTCAAACCAGTCAGGTATCTGCTGTTTGTTTTCCCACTTGATCACATTAAACAAAGGAAAAACATTTCCATCACAATATTGGAGTCATTTCTAATGGTGACAATGAATTCAAACATCAACTTCAGATTATCATTATAATCTAAATAAAGATGGCACATTTCTTACACTTGTTTCTGAATGTGTAGACTGGGATGGGATAATAACTAGGCCTCTTGTGTGTGTTGTGTGTTTCAGAAGCTAGCTTGTTGGAGGCTGTGAAGGACGCTTTCAGACATGCATGGCAGGGTTATAAAGACTTTGCTTGGGGCCACGATGAGCTTCGGCCCCTCTCCAAGTCCTACAGCGAGTGGTTCGGTTTGGGTTTGACGCTTATCGATGCCCTGGACACCATGTGGATCCTTGGCCTTAAAGAAGGTAGACTGAGCTTTGTGCCTTTCAACTTTAAAATGTTACTGTCCACTAGTCATAGCTGACTGTTTTCAGATAAACCCCACAACCACCCAATAATCTTTTAAGGATTAAATACTCATCTCCTGTATGCTAGAAAGGTTGAAAATTGGGAGAGAAAAACACAATGCCTGCAGCGATTGGAAGACACAACCCTGCTGTTCACATCATTCATATTGTAGCATACTGAAAGAATGGGTATTGGATACCTTTCTACTATCTGTATACTGTCTAACACATACTACCTTTATTTAAAATCACCTGCTATAGACCTGGTTCTTATACAAATCTTTGGAATTTCCTCATGTACAAAGCCATCTTATTTGTCTATGTAGAGCCTGTATGTACCCGTTAACTTCATCAAATCATTTCAGATGATATAGTAAGTTCACAAATGATTCTTTATTAATTCTCAAAATGGTGTATTGTTTTGTTACAGAGTTTGAAGAAGCAAGGACGTGGGTGGCCACAGAGCTCACATTCAACAAGAATGTAGATGTCAACCTGTTTGAAAGCACCATCCGAATCCTGGGAGGCCTCCTGAGTACCTACCATCTGACGGGGGACACCATGTTCCTGGACAAAGCTGTGAGTCCACCACGCGTACTCATTTCAAAACGGCAAGCATACTTTAAGCACATTAAAGAATGCAGAAAAACACCAACTTTGTTTTTTTCTAATGCCGATTATTGAACTACGTACGTAGACAATTAAATTGGCTGACTTCAATTAAAGTCAGCCATGGGTGACACTCAATGCCTTCAGCTGCACATACCTGGATGTTATCTTCATGTTTCTCTGCAGAAAGACATCGGCTCCAGGCTGATGCCAGCCTTTAACACCCCGTCAAAGATCCCCTACTCTGATGTCAATATCGGAAAAGGCACAGCCCACCCTCCCCGCTGGACCTCAGACAGCACTGTGGCCGAGGTCACCAGCATCCAGCTGGAGTTTAGAGAGCTCAGCCGCCTCACCCAGGACCCCCAGTACCAGGTACCTGACCCACAGATACTACATGCTGATCCAGGGTCCGCCCATAAACGCTGGCCCTTTTCATTAGCTCAGCTTTCCATTATTAATCTTGCTGACCCAACTTGAGGTCATCATGACATTATTGCACTAACCAGAACTTAGATATTTTTCTTCCCATCTGCACATGCTGTTTTAAAACTGCTTTGCAGTCTGAACTGGGCAGTTTATCAGGATTATTGCACAGATTATTCAAGTCATATTTTTTGTTCTCCCTAATGCACAACTGAGACGAGATGTTTTACATCTGAAGCTAACAAAGAACCAAAGTGTCACCGTAACCTACAAAGCTGAGTCTGAGGTGGTCAAAAATAAAAAGTTTCTAAAGGGTTAATAATTTCGAGTAGTATTGAAATGTCTCCAGTCATACAATACATGCACTTTTTTAAATCGGATTTAAAAAGAAAAATGGCAATTTGAATTGTTTTCCGCAAGCATTCTTTGACATGTGATTGGTCTTGCACAGTTGACTGTTCTGGTTCTGGTATCATGATTCTTTGAATGATGCGCAGCCTTACACTCTTGCTAAAGTTGCACAGTCGTGTTTTTGCTCCCTCTGTGTTGAGGATCTAGGAGGAGCTCATTTGTCTCACTATTGTTATATAGTAGATTTACTTTCTTAGATTGGGTGCTTTATCTGTTTCCAGTTTGAACTTGTATGCATTAGTATTTCTTGGGTTCCATATCAGCTTTTGCTTTTGTGGCCTCATTCTAACCCAATAACTAGTATCAACATGGTACCTGCGTTCGGAGCCCAGCTGATTCAAAAAGCAGGAATACACTTTTTAATAAGACTACTGTTATTTTATTGTTGTCCAAAATGGTAGTAATTAAGTGTTCAGAAGCACAATTAATTACATTTCAGTTTGTCATTCTTACAATATTCACACGTATTTCATTTTTGAAGAACCTCCTAACTAATCGGACTTCTGATCTTGGATTATCAGGATGCAGTGGCTGAGGTTATGAAACAAGTCCACAAGCTGGACGGAAAGCTGGATGGTCTCGTGCCCATGTTCATCAACACGAACAACGGACAGTTCACCCATCAAGGCATCTTCACACTGGGGGCCAGAGCAGACAGCTACTATGAATACCTGCTGAAGCAGTGGATCCAGGGGGGCAAGAAGGAGGACCAGTGAGTGGGACTAAACATACTTAGATTTACTTTCACATGAATCCATTAAAGTGCCATACTCAGCTTTTGCACAGCTTAGAAACAGATGGTAGGCATACCCTATACCCTATATGCCTACCAATTACTGACAAGATCTGTTCATACAGTATATGCATTTTAAACACGTTTACCTTCCTTCATAGGGATTATTGATTCAGTACATTTTAGTTCAGTAGATTTAAAAGTCTCCACGCAGAGACCATAATAGAATGCACTTGAATCCACTGCCTTTGTTGAAACTTTACAGTACTAATTAGACATGCAGTGATGGGGGATTTAAAGGCTGTTGTCGAAAAGCAATGATTTTGTCATTTTTTTCAGATTTGCCAAACAAAGGGTAGTTAGCAATGAGGTATATCTGTAGTGGCTTTCACCACAGAAGGACAGTTACAGCGTATCATTTTGAACCAGATTATAACCAGAAGGAAACATTCTGAGGTGAGCAGAAGTACACTCTTATTATGCTGGATATATACCAGAGGCAGTGCTTAACCCTGAATATCTTCTGGTTGCCCAATTATGTATTCATATCAAACATACCAGAGTCACATGTGACCTCAGATGAGCATGTCCAGGTAAAAGTATCAGTGTCATTCGCAAAGACATTCCTTCAGAATCTTTCCACGGTACCACAACATTACATGTGACTGAAAATCCTAGAGGACGCCAAGGATTCATAGAACTGGAGTCACATCTGTTTCTGTTCTCATATTTCCTGACTGCCACAGGCTCTGCTTATCACTGCAGGGCTTAGAGCAGCAGAATTGTGAACCCAGAGTACCTACCTCATTGATGAGGATGAAGCAGAGGAACTGAGAATCAGCCTTTTATATCACTGCATGTCTTTTTCATTTTACGCTAAAGTTTCACAGAGGGGTTGGCAATATTAACTCTGTATTATCTGGAGAATGCCTTCAAGGCCCATGGGGCCACAACACAGCTGTCCACCATGGGCACAACACTGGGCCCATGAGATTCAGATATTCCTGGTAGAGTGGCACTTATTCCAGTAGAAAAGTAGTAGAAAACGGTCAACCAACTCGTGCTGTGAACAACATAAAATATGAAACTGTGAAAACTTATTTTCATACAGTATGGGAGATTGGGCTAAATGCTGAGGTGGAATCATCAAACTGCATTCTTATTCAGGGGTTATTTTTAAGATGTGTGAGTGCTGACTGAAAGGCAGATGCATCCCTACTAGATAAATTGACAGACCAGTATTATATTTGATATCAAAACATGTCAGCAAGTCATACATGTCGTATGTAGAAAAAAAGGCTTTCTGTTATTCTGTCAGCACTCTGTAAGCATTAGGTTACTATGCCTGTCAGTGGGACAGCTGAAAGATGAATAAAGTGGAACAACAATCCGTTCCAGACACGCTCGAGGGCATGAGCTTAGATTAAGCAGCTTTGGATGTTGCTGTGATTTTGTGTCACTTCCGGGTATGACCTACTTAAATTGGCATGTACATTGGATTCAAATTGATTTGTTAATGTACCCATTGTTTAGGGAATATTTTTGATGGTCAAGTTACAGGCACTATTCATTATTGAATAAATACTAGGCTACATGTCTGTTCTGGAAAATATTCCAAACATTAGAACTCAATAAGGCCACGTTTTACTTTTTTGATGCTCTGTCATTAACTCTTCATACAACATGTCAGCCAATTTGATCTCTTATTCCACTGTAACAGTGCAAGCCGACTCACACATTTGGCATTCAAAGCTACAGAAGTGCCACGCAATTTCCCAAATAACTCAAAAGGAAAAAACTGAATTGTTTATCTGGAGGTATAAAAAATGACTTTATTTTTAATAAATGCTCCATTTCAAACGCTTTTTAACCTAGAGCTAGCATACCCTGTCAATCCATCAACCAAAACACTTCATTAATCCCAGGAGGGGAAATTATATGTTTTGACACTGGCACCATATTAGAATAAAATAAATACAAATGTATATAAAATGTGTTGATGTAAAAAAGTCCTTGTAGCCACAGGGACACAGTGTCTTAGGCACAGGAATGAGGCAGGACGTCCACCACAGTACAGGGACCCTCTGAAGACTCAGACTCATGGTGGAGACATGATGAAGACTCAGACTCATGGTGGAGACATGATGAAGACTCAGGCTCATGATGAAGACATGATGAAGGCTCATGGTGAAGACATGATGAAGACTCAGGCTCATGGTGGAGACATGATGAAGACTCAGGCTCATGGTGAAGACATGATGAAGACTCAGGCTCATGGTGAAGACATGATGAAGACTCAGGCTCATGGTGAAGACATGATGAAGACTCAGGCTCATGGTGGAGACATGATGAAGACTCAGGCTCATGATGAAGACATGATGAAGGCTCATGGTGAAGACATGATGAAGACTCAGGCTCATGATGAAGACATGATGAAGGCTCATGGTGAAGACATGATGAAGACTCAGGCTCATGGTGGAGACATGATGAAGACTCAGGCTCATGGTGAAGACATGATGAAGACTCAGGCTCATGGTGAAGGCATTATGAAGACTCAGGCTCATGATGAAGACTCAGGCTCATGATGAAGACATGATGAAGGCTCATGGTGAAGACATGATGAAGACTCAGGCTCATGATGAAGACTCAGGCTCATGATGAAGACATGATGAAGGCTCATGGTGAAGACATGATGAAGACTCAGGCTCATGATGAAGACATGATGAAGACTCAGGCTCATGGTGAAGACATGATGAAGACTCAGACTCATGATGAAGACATTATGAAGACTCAGGCTCATGATGAAGACATGATGAAGGCTCAGGCTCATGGTGAAGACATGATGAAGACTCAGGCTCATGGTGAAGACATGATGAAGACTCAGGCTCATGATGAAGACATTATGAAGACTCAGGCTCATGATGAAGACATGATGAAGACTCAAGCTCATGATGAAGACATGATGAAGGCTCATGGTGAAGACATGATGAAGACTCAGGCTCATGGTGAAGACATGATGAAGACTCAGGCTCATGGTGAAGACATGATGAAGACTCAGGCTCATGGTGAAGACATGATGAAGGCTCATGGTGAAGACATGATGAAGACTCAGGCTCATGGTGAAGACATGATGAAGACTCAGGCTCATGATGAAGACATGATGAAGGCTCAGACTCATGGTGAAGACATGATGAAGACTCAGACTCATGGTGAAGACATGATGAAGACTCAGGCTCATGATGAAGACATTATGAAGACTCAGGCTCATGATGAAGACATGATGAAGACTCAGGCTCATGATGAAGACATGATGAAGGCTCATGGTGAAGACATGATGAAGACTCAGGCTCATGGTGAAGACATGATGAAGACTCAGGCTCATGGTGAAGACATGATGAAGACTCAGGCTCATGGTGAAGACATGATGAAGGCTCATGGTGAAGACATGATGAAGACTCAGGCTCATGGTAAAGACATGATGAAGACTCAGGCTCATGATGAAGACATGATGAAGGCTCATGGTGAAGACATGATGAAGACTCAGCCTCATGGTGAAGACATGATGAAGACTCAGACTCATGATGAAGACATTATGAAGACTCAGGCTCATGATGAAGACATGATGAAGACTCAGGCTCATGGTGAAGACATGATGAAGACTCAGGCTCATGGTGAAGACATGATGAAGACTCAGGCTCATGATGAAGACATGATGAAGACTCAGGCTCATGGTGAAGACATTATGAAGACTCAGGCTCATGATGAAGACATGATGAAGACTCAGACTCATGGTGAAGACATGATGAAGACTCAGGCTCATGATGAAGACATTATGAAGACAGGCTCATGATGAAGACATGATGAAGACTCAGACTCATGGTGAAGACATGATGAAGACTCAGGCTCATGTTGAAGACATTATGAAGACTCAGGCTCATGATGAAGACTCAGACTCATGATGAAGACATGATGAAGACTCAGGCTCATGGTGAAGACATGATGAAGACTCAGGCTCATGATGAAGACATGATGAAGACTCAGGCTCATGTTGAAGACATTATGAAGACTCAGGCTCATGATGAAGACTCAGACTCATGATGAAGACATGATGAAGACTCAGACTCATGATGAAGACATGATGAAGACTCAGGCTCATGGTGAAGACATGATGAAGACTCAGGCTCATGATGAAGACATGATGAAGACTCAGGCTCATGTTGAAGACATTATGAAGACTCAGGCTCATGATGAAGACTCAGACTCATGATGAAGACATGATGAAGACTCAGGCTCATGGTGAAGACATGATGAAGACTCAGGCTCATGATGAAGACATGATGAAGACTCAGACTCATGGTGAAGCTCTCGGTGCGATCCTAGTAGGCCGCAACTGTCCTGGAGCCATCAAAGGAAACATTAATGTCAGATATATATCCTGGTGCAGCCATGTTTTACGTAAAGCACGAGCGGTGGCCTCGGCATAATGTCTGTTGTTCATAACTCTGAACCTCACTGAGCCGTTACCATCCCCATGGCAACCTCTAATACAGGGGAAACTGAGATTGAGATGAGCTAATTAGTACACTGTAAAACACATTTCTGGTATTATTCCACTTTTAAAGCCAGCCATTCAGTTTCCCATCAGTTTTTCAACATTCACTGTGCAGTTTGTTGACATTGCCCTTTCTGGTTGATAGCATGCAAAGAGTTTCAAAATGTACTCCTTATAAACGATGTCCCTGTGTTTCATTATGTTAGGCTCTTGGAGGACTACGTGCAGGCAATAGAGGGTGTGAAGAAGAATCTGTTGCAGAAATCTTCCCCTAATGGCCTCACCTTTGTTGGAGAACTTTCACATGGACAGTTCAGCCCGAAGATGGTCAGTAATATTCAGAAATGTCCTCAAGGTTATCCTGCTGCTCTGTTCTCTTTTTGCTTTTGGTGTGCACCATCTGTTACCCTGTCGAGTGCAAATTATTATAAAAATTCCCTCCTGTTGACCGATAATTAAGCTTGCACTGCTGAAATACAGTGAAGGAAATAATTATTTGATCCAATGCAGATTTTGTAAGTTTGCCCAATTACAAATAAATTAATAGTCTATAATTGGTTTATTTGAATGGTGAGAGTAAGAATATCCAAAAGAAAATCAAGGAATGGAAATGATATAAAAGATAAACAATTATTTGCATTTGATCCCCTTACAAAACATGTGTTAGTACTTGGTGGAGAAACCCTTGTTGGACGCACAGAGGTCAGACACTTCTTGTAGCTGGTCTCCAGGTTTGTGCACTTCTCAGGAAGGATTGTGGTCCACTCCTCTCTGAAGACCCTCTCCAAACCCTCCAGGTTTTGAGGCTGATGCTTGGCCTCTGGAAGCTTCAGCTGCCTCCACAGATTTTCTATGGGATTGAGGTCCGGAGACTGGCTAGGCCCCTCCCTCACCTATATGTGCTTCTTCTTTAGCCACTCCTGTGTTGCCTTGGCCGTATGTTCAGGGTCATTGTCCTGCTGGAAGACCCCTCCATGACCCATGTTCAGTGTCCTGGCTGAGGGAAGGAGGCTATCGGCCAAGATGTTACGCTACATGTCCCCGTACATCCTCTCCTCGATGCAGGGAAGTGGTCCTGTCCCCTTAGCTGAGAAACACCCCCAAAGCAGAATGTTTCCACCTCCATGCCTGACGGGGGGGGGGGATGGTGTTCTGGGGTTATACTCAGCATCTCTCTTCCTCTAACACGGCAGGTCGAGTTGATGCCAAAGATCTCGATGTTGGTCTCATCTGACCACATCCTCTTCTCCCAAGCCTTCTCTGAATCATTCAGATGTTCATTGTCAAACTTCAGACGGGCCGTTCATGTTCTTCTTGAGCAGGGGACCTTCAGGCGCTGCAGGATTCGATCCATTATGGTGTAGTATGTTACCAATAGTTTTCTTGGTGACTGTGGTCCCAGCTGCCTTGAGATCATTAACAAGTTCCTCCCGTGTAGTTCTTGGCTGATCCCTCACATTTCTATCAATACCCCACGGGGCCAGATCTTGTGTGGAGCCCCAGACCGAGGGCAATTGATGCTCATTTTGTGTTTCTTCTATTTCTGAATAATGGCACCAACAGTTGTGTCCTCCTCACCAAGCTGCTTTCTGATGGTCTTGTAGCCAGTCCCAGCCTTGTGCAGCTCTACAGTCTGGTCCCTGAGGTCCTTAGACAGCTCTTTAGTCTTGCCCATGGTGGAGAGGTTGGAATCTGATTGATTGATTCTGTGGACAGGTGTCTTTTATACAGGTAACAAGTTGATGTTAGGAGTACTTTCCTAAAGGAAGAGGACTCATGTAACCGGTCTGTGGGAGCCAGAATTCTTGTTTGTTGCAAGGGGATCAAATACTTATTTCACACAATTAAATGCAAATAAATGTATATCTGTTATTTGATACACATTTCTGATTATTCTGTCTCTCATTAATCAAATAAATCTACCATTCAAATTATAGACTGTTCATTTATTTGTAAGTGGGTAAACTTATAAAATCGGCAAGGGATCAAATACTTATTTCCTTCACTGTACTCTTAGCTGTGCACTTACAGAAATACTGCTTATCTCTGACGGGATATGTACAGTACATTATTGTAATAAATATTGCTAGGGTCAATTTTGAAATGTATCTAATAGATCAAGATATTTGATGATCTAAGACTGCTGGGATGAAGTTTATCAATTATACAATTCATCATTTTTTAATTTATTTTGATGTGGGGACGTGACAGAATGTGTACACACAGCTTCCTGTTAACTGTCCTTGTGTGTACTCTTTGTTTTTCAGGACCATCTGGTGTGTTTCCTGCCGGGCACGCTGGCTCTGGGGGCCCACCACGGCCTCCCTGCTGATCACATGGATCTGGCCAAACAGCTGATGGAGACCTGCTACCAGATGTACATCCAGATGGAGACGGGCCTCAGTCCAGAGATCGTCCACTTCAACATGCATGAGGGCAGCATCCGAGACATCGACGTAAAGGTAGAGAGAGACGGAGCTGCAGGAGTGGATCAGAGGGTCTCATCCTAACATGCAGCAATGTCCTCTACAAACTCATTTTGTGTGATTCTGGATAAAGGCACTGCCTAAAGTCTCAGGGAAGAAAGTCATGGTGACCTTCCATCTTCCCATTGTTCAACCACTAATTGTCTTGTGGATTTTAAGAGAACCATTCTAGAGTCAAAAGGCATGAAATCAGTGAAGTGTGACAATAAGCAATGTGAAGCAGTTTGTTTGTACTCGGATGTTAATTCAGTGTGTTGTATTGACTGTGATGATAGCTTGCAGATAGGCACAACCTCCTGCGGCCGGAGACCGTGGAGAGCCTCTTCTACCTGTACAGGTTCACCAAAGACCACAAGTACCAGGACTGGGGCTGGAACATTCTGCAGAACTTTAACAAGTACACCAAGGTATGGTACACCATGACCTTCACTCCTCTGTCCCCATCAAAATGATATCTCAGATGGGCTTCTGCGGGACAAAATGACATCATCTGTAAACTGTTAAATGATGTAACAGCCACGCTCAGCATACATCAAACACATTCAAAAGGAATCATTCAAATGTAAAATTGGAAGGTTACTTGTCTGTTCATATGTTGATGTTGGTGCATTTCTATTCCAAATATATGCTTCATACAGTGACCTGCGCAGTGTTGGGATTGTTGTCCACCAAGACTGAACTTTTAAACATCAACAAAAGTATCAGTTTCTTTATTGTCTATAAATGATTAAGAAAGCTATATAAAGTCAACGGTTCATCTACATGCTTGGCTAAATATGTGTAAGAAATATGAATGAGATAAAGGTGCACCACTACACATTGTGTTTGCATAATGCAATTTGTATTAAAGGGCGTTCCTACAAACTGATAGCAGCTGAATCTGCTTCTGTTTCCCCTCAGGTTTCCTCCGGGGGCTACACCTCCATCAACAACGTCCGTGACCCGGACTACACCAGCCCTCGAGACAAGATGGAGAGCTTCTTCCTGGGAGAGACCCTGAAGTATCTGTACCTGCTTTTCTCAGACGATCCCAGCCTCATCAGTCTGGACGAGTATGTGTTCAACACTGAAGCTCACCCCCTGCCTATATGGCCCTCCACAGCCTGACACAAACATACCCAGGAATTGAAATGGCCGATAGAACTGCATGTAGAAACTGAACACATCTCAGGGTTGGTCGAACACCAAGATAACTCCTGTCTTCTATCTCTGTGACTGAATGTTGTCTGAATGACAAGCACACACCAGAGGGAGCGTCTCCGTCACTGATTCCATCAATGGTTTCCTCTCCGTGTGAAGAGGAGCCGGGGTCAACTTGTAGACTGGTTTATTTTGTGTCATGGACTCTGGTAGTGAGTGTATGCTGATGAAGCAGAGGAAGGTTTCCGTCCTCTACCATCTGCGTTAAAGAGAAACCTGATTGTGACTTGAACACATGAAGGTGTTGGATGGCTGATACTGAAATTTCCAGTTTGAAGCTGTTCATTGCTTACAGCTGTGCACATAAATTCGAACACAAATTTCCATTTTATGTCGGGGAAAAAAACATGTTGTATTTCTCCCCTGCATTGTATCCAGTAAAATAGTTTCTTAAGCTCGTATCTGCCATGGGGGTGCAACCCGGTGCTGAGGTCAGCAGGCTGGTGCCTTGTAGCAGACGGTTACTGACAGCAGCCAGCAGCTGTCTGACCTGAAGCCTCCTGTGTGTCTGCTCCTGCCCCCCCTCTGTCACAGCTCTGTACTGCTGTGACTCCTGCAGGGCTGCAAGACAAAGCTAATGAGTCCATCACACTGTGTCATATAGTCATTCTGTCTGGCTATGACTATCCTCAGATGCCCTCGGTGCTCGCTCATTCCAGTATTCGCTTTCCCATGCTGCATTCATGTCATACAGGAGATGTGACTTTACTGCATAAAAGTACCATCCTAGATCAGTGCGACTCGAGGAGTAGCATTCAGTTTAGTTGGTGGAGGACACTGACTTCAAGTCTGCAGGGTCAGGGGATATCAAGATAATATTTCTCCGTTTGTCAGAGATGATCTTATGTCAAACTTCAGTAAAAGCACACAATACTGTAACACACTTACATGCCTCAACGCCCAAGCAACGCTTTTTTGTTTTGTTTTGCAACCTGGCAACCCAGCAGTTTTCCCAATGCCCGACATGATTGGTGGACCCTGACCGGCAGGCCAGGCAGAGCTACTGTTCATGAATGCAACATGGTGGACATCTGCTCAGCAGAGTCTGGGGCCATGCAGATCCTTAAACTCTTACATTTAACCTTTGATAATCAAGGTCGGAAAATGTCCAGGGTTGTAGGAGAAGGGTGTGTGTGTTGCTGCCCCATAAAGGATGGCAAGTTATTAATAACTTCTTGCAATCGTATAATTCCCATTTGGCATGAATGTATCATTTATCTGTACTCGGGACTGACTTTGTTATGATTTCAGTTGTTGCCAAGCAGCAGATTTATTAGTGAAGTGTGAAGCTTGTCTTTTGTGAGGATATCAATGAGTTATAAGCATTAATGTTTTTTTTATCATTTTGCTGAGAAGCTGCTCTTTTCACTGATTGTTCCATTTCTCTCTCCTTCTGTTTGTCTTGGTATGGTGTGACATTCATCTGTTTCTCTTTGAAGTGATAGCAATTCATTTAAAATATAAATTTAGCGTGCGATCATCTTAATACAGTCAGCTCTTGTGCATGTTTTGTTTTCAAAGTAGCAACCTCACAGCAGCTGCATTCATTCCTGTAAATACTAATAGTTGACATCATAGCTCTCTTCTGTTATGACTTTATTAAGACCAAACTCATCTTGTATATTCTGTGTATTTTTCCTTGGTGTCGTTTCACATGTGCCTTCAAAAGACAACTGTTAACTTGCTGATGTGTATTTCTATCCAGTCTATTATTAACATGTGCATACGTTGCTGGTTAGCCACAGTGTGAAAATTATGAAAACTGCAGAATGCAAATATGACTTTTTTTACGATGGAATAATGAAATAAGGATTTATATTTTTTCAGCAGTCCCTCAAAGCAATCTTTAGGTTTACAGAAAGCTCATCTCTAGCAGTGTAAGTATTGACATCCTGCCTGAAGAGGCTCTATGACCCCTCCCTAGATGTTTTCAGCATAATTCCTGAGCCAAAAATATGCTGAAAATATTATCAACCTTAGTGTTTGATATAAATGAAAAGCCATTTCTACAAAGCAGCCTGTTTCAGGTCAAACTATTTTCAGTGCTTTTGATAAGGGTCTGTGTGTGTGGGGGGTTTGAAATCATTGATGACTGCGTCACTTCTGTTTGAGACAGACTGCTTTAACTGGAGGCTGCACTCTGCTGTGCCATGCTGCACACAAACATTTTTTATTTGTGTTGGTTTTTATTGTCACATGGTGAATGATAAACGCTGGATCGGCTTTAAATTAGTAAACATTTTAGAAATTAAAGAGATTTTATTGAACAGAATATTTGTGTTGATCAATGACTCATCTGCTTTACGTGTTTGATGTCTTGGGATAGAAACGGAGCATACAGCAGGGTCAGATCCTCACCTCAGCTGGTGTGTGAGGGGGAGGATGGAGAGGCTGCAGATCCAATGATCTAAATGTTTAGATCTTGAAAGTCAAACTTTGTAATGCTATTGCCTTTGGAAAACATTTTCGAGAGCAAGCAAAATGTTACACAAGCTGTTTGACATGTCCATGATGACTTTCATTTTCCTCGACCGAGCAGCTCATCCAATCATTCTGTGCATTGTAAAGTTCATTATTTCCCTCCATGTCGGCTCAATGCCAGGGTGAACTCTGCGTGTTCCAAAGCCATGAAGAGCTTTAAAGTGATTGCTGTGATCTGACCCGCTCCTGCTCCACCCACTGAGCGATGAGCTCGGCTTCTGTCTTCCTGGCACTGATCACTGACACAGGATCTGCAGCATTAGATCCTCTGCATGAAACAACAGATAAAGGCAGATTAGATTTATTTGAGGGTTAAAGAGTCAGGATGTGTGCAGGGACCCGCTGGCTCTACCTGAGATCCAGATGATGGGCGCCTTCACAAATGTTCACAGCTACCAATGATGAGCTCAGGGACCGGCGCACCTAAACAGAAGAGAGATGATTGGGTCAGACTGAACGCAGCGCTTCACAGTTTACAGTGCTGACTTAAGATAAGAAGTACTTTATTGATCCCAATTTGGGAAATGTTTGCGTTGCAGCAGCATTCAAGAACATGGCATTTGTACAATCAAAATTAAAAGACTAAAAATAAACATTCCAAAATCTTGATTTCATCTCCTACCCCTCCGTTGGCCCACGGGTCCAGATCTCCATTGGAGAAGATAATGTTGCTGGCTGTGGAGAGGGCTACACGCGCGCGCGCGCGCACACACACACACACACACACACACACACACACACACACACACACACACACACACACACACACACACACACACACACACACACACACACACACACACACACACACACACACACACACACACACACACACACACACACACACACACACACACACACACACACACACACTCTTCAGTTTGATCCCAACAAACTGGATTATCTTGATCCCACCAGAGGGGTGGATTTCCAGAGCAAAATGTACTGTACAATTTATTTAAAAATATGTTTCAATATAAATAAGATGGCAAAGTTTGTTAACTGAAATAATACACAATTCTTAGCCTTCATGACAAATCAATTTTATTTTTCGGTCACGTTGTGAGTGAGTTGGAAAGATGGACAAAAAGGGGCCTAATTGTACATCTGCTGAGACCCATGCACTGCTCCAGAGTGTAAGGAATCATTCTGACTCCATAGTTGGTAGCTTTAACAGAGAGGGTGGAGCGACTAAAGTAAAGAGCGGAATATGGATGGAAGTTACAGACAATGTGAATGCCACAGGATCTGGACACAAGAGGACGGTGGACCAAGTGAGGTTGAGGTGGAAGAATCTGAAGCAGCAAGCTACCAAAGACCACAGACGGGTAACAAAGCGTATAAAAGGGGACAATACACAGATGTGGTACTTGATATCATTGGTGGTCAGCAGTCACAATCTTTACATGGAATACCAAACGTTGTACTGGATGGTGAGTCGCAGGTATGTGTGATTTGATCCTTGTCCCTATAGAACTACAATTATTATCTTGTATAATTGCTATTTTCATAGTACTACAAACTACAATAGCCGCGTTCACACCAAGTACTTTGCAGTACTTAGTTCCGGCACTCAGAGCCCCGGCGCTTTTTACCCCAGGGCACTTAGTACAGATCGCGTTCACACCGGAGTACTTTTCCCTGAGGGAAGATTACGCAAATGAGCCGCTGACGTCACTTCTTCTTCTTCTGCTTTGGCTTTACTGGCAGACCACAAACCACTTCACGGCGAGTACAGTAGGTGGCGGTATGCACCTTAAAGTTGTTTGCAATCCGCTACAAAACAAGAGAAGAAGAAGAAGAAGAAAAACTTCCCGCGTATACTGCGACGCCCACCCACTCGCTGTACATTAGGCGTCTGTTGTTTACCTTCCGACCTCAGACATGATGGAGATGGAGTCGACTGAAGTTGTGCTGTTTGTGCTCATGTTATACAGCTTTGTAACTGAGTTAATGCAGCCTGAGCAACTTGCGTACAATAACAAAACAAGCCGAGCACGAGTGGTGGTGGAGAACGCTTTTGGCAGACTGAAGGGCAGGTGGCGGTGCTTGATGAAAAGAAACGACTGCAAGATGGACAAGATCAAAATCCAGGTGGCAGCATGTTGCATATTACATAACCTTTGTGAAAGTAATGATGAGTACAGGGACGAATGGACTGCCTTACCGGCGACCCAGCTTGATGGGCCAGCCATTGCCGAGGCTGGGGGGCAAGACACGCGCACAGCCCTTATGAGGCATCTGAACAGCGTGTAAATTGTACATTGTAAACATTTTGACAAAGCTGATCTTTTGTACAGTGCTTTTGTTTCTGTCTTTTATTTTCCAGTCAAGACAGGCAACATTACAATAGTGTACAGTGTGGCAATATAATAACAATAAACTGTGCCAGGTGTGTTGTATGCACAGTAAATAACCTCAGCAGCAAACCCACCTTTATTATTTATTATATATCTTCCTGAGACCCACTGCATCCGTCTGCCATAAACACTATGGAAACCTACATGTTAGTTTCGGCCCATAGTGGACTCCATTTTGTGTTGTGTAAAATGGGGGGGGGAATTAAAAGTTTGCAAATCCCCATGTCCTCCTCAGAGGACAATCATAAAAACATTTAGTTTTAGGTCAAATAATATTTAAAATTATATAAATTATCATATTTGTGTATGTGAATGTATGTGTATTGTGTATGTATCCTGAACTTCCTGACGGGCAGACCCCAGGCAGTGCGGGTGGGAAATATCACATCCTCCACCCTGATTCTCAACACCGGTGCCCCTCAAGGCTGCGTGCTCAGCCCTCTCCTCTACTCCCTGTTCACCCACGACTGCGTGGCCACACACAGCTCCAACACCATCGTGAAGTTTGCTGATGACACGACCGTCATCGGCCAGATCACAGACGATGACGAGACGGCGTACAGAGAGGAGGTCGAAAACCTGACATCTTGGTGCCAGGAGAACAACCTCCATCTCAACATCAGCAAAACAAAGGAGCTGATTGTGGACTACAGGAAGCAGCAGGGAGAGGGACACGCCCCCATCGCCATCAATGGGACTACGGTGGAGAGAGTCAAAAGCTTCAGGTTCCTTGGGGTCCACATCACTGAGGACCTGACATGGTCTCTTCACACCACCACCATCACCAAGAAAGCTCGACAGCGGCTCTTCTTCCTCCGCAGGTTGAGGAGGTTCAAAATGGATTCCAGGATACTCTGCAACTTCTACAGGTGCACGATAGAGAGTATCCTCACTGGCAGCATGACGGCCTGGTACGGCAGCTGCACCGACCTCGATCGTAAGGCTTTACAGAGGGTGGTGAAAACTGCACAGCACATCACCAGGACGGAGCTGCCATCCATGGAGGACCTTTACTCCCAGCGGCTCAGGAAGAAATCACTACGGATTATCAAAGACCCCCATCACCCCAGCCACAAACTGTTCTTTCTGTTGCCGTCTGGCAGACGTTACCGCAGCATCCTGGCAAAGACAAGAAGATTCGGAGACAGTTTCTTCCCGCGGGCAGTGAGACTGTTAAAAAATTGAACTGTTGAAACAACTTCAAACATTCAACTGCTACTCAGTAGTATGTATCTAATACCTAATATATATATATCATTCCAATAACTTGTATATAGACTCATACTGCACTATTCCACATCATAACTTTATTTCATTTTTATAACTATTATTATTTTTGTATTGCTCATGCTCTTATTGTTATTATGTTATGTTATTATGTTGCATTGTTGGAGAAGCCTGTGACATAAGATTTTCAACTGCATAATTACTCTGTAGCTATGTCAGATTGACAATAAAGAACCTTGAACCTTGAACCTTGTGCCCCTGCCATTCCTCCACAAGGTTGCAACATTGATGATAAATAAATGACAAATAAAGCTTTGCCAGTTTATAACCGATGAAACATGATGGTATCAGAATAATCACTTACATGTGATGTATAGGATGCTACACAGGTCACTGTAAAGATAAAGTGTCAGGAGAAATAAGCAAGACACAGGATCTGTTTAATCGCCATGTAGGTTCTCTTTATTGCACTCTCAAGACATAACAGTAAATAGAAGTTCACATTTTTAATGTAAATAAAATAGAAGTTGTGTAAATTAACATTATCAATATAAAATAAAGTGTCAGTTGTATCAAGACTATATAATAACAGTAATAACAATAATATAAAATGAACTGGTGAGCATCTTGTCCTCCGTTTCCTGGGCCTTGGTGAACAGCACCATCTGATCCCCGTGCATCGACTCTTTCACCACGGCACGCCGGTCCTCCAACGCCTGGACGGTGTCAAAGAAATTCGCATCCCGCGTCCGCTTTCCTAAGAGGGGAAAATAAGCAAGATACAAGATCTGTTTAGTCGCCATGTAGTTTTACAACATACGTGTGTGTGTGTGTGTGTGTGTGTGTGTGTGTAGCTGCCGCTCAAAGTGCCCTTCTTTATTGTTTTGTATTTTTGAAGAGTGCTTCATGTATGCTTGAACTTTGTTTAATGTTGTTGAGGCAAGTTTTCTTACCGGAAGTCATGTGACCTCTAGCCCGGATGTTTACAATGTTTGTGAGAGAGTAAAAAGGCGCGAACATTTGTAAACGCCGGTCTAGGCGAATACGTTTTCACGCTGTTTCATAATTGTACCAAGAAGGAAATAAACATGATTGTGAACATCAGTTCGATGCGTAACGTTCTTTCAAGACAAAGTTACAGTGTGTGTACCTTTGCGTTTGGTTGCTGGTAAGGGGGACGACCAAGCGCTGTGATCTAGAATGC